CTATTTCTGTTGTGGGAATAGTTTCAACGCTGTAAGCCACATCTTCCCTTTGAAACCGCATGAAATATGGACCACTTCATGAATTTGCACATCATCCTTGTGCTGGGACCGTGCTAATCATCTCTATATTGTTCCGATTTAGTATATGTGCTGCCGAAGCAAGCACTGGCTAATATTCCTTGGGCCCTGGAACTAGGAACTACATGTGTGTGTGCTCCTGTGGAAACACACATGCATGGTTCCTACCTCAGAGCCAGAATCCCCTCTCCCTGCAGACCTCTCCTAAGGTGGGCCGTGGGGCAGGCAGGCAGGGGCTGAACACAGTCACTGCCATGTTGCTGGACATGGACTTGAGAATGTTGCTGTGCCCCTCAGACTGGAGGGTTCGCCCTCCCCCTGGTGACTACCTCACAGAGCACGCCCACCCAGGCCTCCTTCCCTCCTGTCCCCATTCTGAGGTTGGCATCCTTGAGCTGCTCTGTCCCCGGGCCCCTGCTCCTCCCCGGCCTCCTGGCCCCAGCCCTCACATATTCCTCTTGCGTTGTTTATCCCTCAGAGACACGTGGGGCACCCACTCTGGGTGGAGCTGGAGAAGGTGGGGAGACAGCCCTTGAGGAGGTCTGCCCTTTGCCAATGTGAGGCCATGCAAGGAGCTGGCCTGACCGCGGCATTCTCTCTGGGCAGCCAAGAGCAGTCACTCAGCTGTGAGGACAAATGGGTCCCAGGCCGCCTTTGATCTTTCCTCAGGGGCCTCAGTTGCCCGTGAAAGTCAGGACTCTGCCCTTCATCCCAGCAGCCCCCTGCTGGCCACAGCTACTAGAAGGTTCTACTAGAAGGAAGTGTCCTAGCCCCAGCCTCCCCCTCCCCACGTCTCCAGTTGCCTCTATTCCTCCATGGGAGATGGTGTCTTAGTTCTCTGTTGCTGCTAATAACAGAGCGACCACAAATGGATGGTTTTAACAAACAGCCACGATCTTGTCGTTTAGGAGCTGGAAGGCTGACTCCAGGCTGAATACTCTCCCGGTGGACGCCTTGCTGTTCGTGCCTCTCGGCTCTGGGAGGTTCTCACCGGGAGCCCAGGTCAGATGGCTGGCCTCCGCGCTCTCTTCCATCTCTATGGTCAGGAGGGTCCCTTCTCCTTGGCGGTTGCCTCTCTTACCTCTGTGAGATAAAAAGTGTCACAGTCCCCACACCCCCAGGGAAACTCCCTTGAGATTGGATTTGGGCTGTAATAGAATGAAAAGTGTTCGTCCTCACCCTGAAATCTCTTACAGCTGTTCCGTCTACCAGATCCTGAGCGATCATTATGTATCTTCCACACTGCATTGTTACTTGTGTGTATTTTGAGGGGACACAGCTCAGTCCTCAGCAGTGCCCCCCAGTAACATCTCAGCCTGGGGAGCACACTCACACTGGTGGGGGAGGGAGACCTGCCCGTCTCCCCTGTCCATCCCCCGTGGCTGTGCCCAGCAGAGGGCAGCAAGGATCTGATGGCACCTGTGTGTTGTTCTGTGTGTATTTGCAGTTGAACTTGAAGGCTCTGAGGCTGCAGCTGCGGCCTCCCCCATTCACTAAAGCAGCTTGTGCTGAGGGCAATTGGGAATTACAGCTTTCGCAGAATCAATATCTGCGGATTAACACGTGCCTGACACGGGCTGAGAGTGATTTAGACTCAGCTTTTCACTGAGCCAGGTCCCTCGGTGGCCCTGAGCTAGCTCGTGCCTGACGACTGACTGAGAGGTTGGCAGTGACCTCGCCCAGGAGCTCTCCGGACAACACCTGATGATCTGCTACCCTGACGATTACAGGAGAGAAAACCCCGCGGAGTCCAAATCCACTCTGTCCCACGGGGTCCCACGGGGTCGCCGCGAGATGGAATTCGTGCAATGGCAACAGGCCTTTTGGGTGGTTTTGTTCTGTTTTGTACTTTACAGTTGTCATAACATGTAACATGTTGTTTACAAAGAACGCTTGTGAAAACCAGGTGGGTACTTTTTCATGGTGACAAATGAGGCCCCTGAGCCACTTTGCCTTGTGAGCTGGAAGGAGCACAGCCAGCCTTGACCTGCGCTGGCCGGCCGGCTGGACTTGGGCACCTTGTCCCTCTGAGCCTCAGCTCCCTCGTCCACACGGGGAGAAGCGCTGGACTGGACTTGAGATCATAAACCTCAGAGTAGGGTTATTATGAGCATTGAAAGGAAAAGGCAGTGTTTATAATAGACGTGGGTAAACTGAAGTCTCTAAATGATAGTTAGCCCCCAAATTATACTTGGGCTTTGAAGGAAATTTGAGACTACAGAGAAGCACACACATGATTTATTTATAAGAGTGCTATGGAATTGCAAACTTCAAAATAGTCAATCATAGTAGAGGAGGTGGGGGTTGGCATCAACTCACGGAGACGCTGTGTGTAACGGAATGAACCCCCAGATCCTACTCCATTCTCACGGTCCCCCTGTGCTGAAGCCCATTGTTACAGCCCCTGCCAGTCCATCTCCTCCTCCTCCTCCTCCTTCTTCCTCTCTACCAACCACAACAACCAACAACTTTACCAAGCAGGATGTCTTTCACCAGGACATGTCCAGAGTATGTGAGAGAAAGTTTTACTCACCTCGCTTCTGGGAAGCGTTCTTGGCGGCAATGTTTCCTAACACCTGGAGAACAAAGTTTTCTTTTTCTTGAGCAGCCCCGCAGGCCAGGAGCTGCTCTAAGGTGCAGAGAGGTTGAATGCTGGCTGAGGCCCTCGGAGTCCATCTGAGCCCCGTGGTCCACCTGTGATCCTGACCATCTAAAGTTTAGCCAACTCAGTCTTTGGAAGTGTCCCAGGACCACTTGAGCACCACCATCCTGATATCCTTACACAATGACTCTGCCCTCTTCCCTCTCTCCTACAACAGGACTGTGCTTCTTGGATGTTTCTTTCAAAATGGCCCCTCAGGTCTGAAATTTGACCTCTGATCCCAGCGGAAAACTATTACCCAGTCATCTTATTCCTTCTGCTCCATTTATCCTTGCTCCTTAGGTGGTTATATCTGTGTGGATGGGAGGGCGGAGCTTGAGGATCCTGACTTGATGGCCAAACCTTCTCACTCTCTGGAACACACCCCACTGTCTACCATCTTCTGCCTGAATTTAGGGTCCACTGAGGAATTGCACACTGTGGGATAGCCATTAAATACCCCAAGGGCTAGGCCCAAAGGGAAAGTGGCAGGAAAGGGCTGAGAAAAGGGTACCACTAGATTTTCTGGGGGAGCTGATCTGTGAAGAATCCTGAGAGCCAGAACTTCCAGCCCTGAAGGGCCTTGACCTAGGAGCATCTTCCCTCACCTTCTCCTGGAGCTCTCCTCTCCTAGAGGAAACTCCATCTTGGTGGAGGAGTTGGAATGAGCTGGTGTTATGAAGCGTCCTGATGGTGCAGTGTTTAAGCACTCAGCTGCTAACTGGTGGTTGGAACCCACCAGCTGGTCCACAGGAAAAAGATGTGGCACTCAGCTCCCATCAAGACTATAGATCTGGAAACCTTCTGGGGCATTTCTAGTCTGCTCCATGGGGTCATTCTCAATGTATTGCTGTTCAGTTGGAAATAACTCATAGCTGATTCTCTCAAGGCTATAAACTCGTGGGAGGAGATTATCCATCTTTCGTCTCAGAGGTACTGGTGGATTCAAAGCTACAGAGAGGTGCAGCATGTGGGTTAGCAGTGCAACTCCATATGGACTGTAACACCAGAGCTGCTAAAGAGTCATTAAGAGCTGGACTCAGCTGAGGGCAATAGGTTTGATTTGGTTTGAGTGGTTTGTTTGTTTGTTTGAAAGCATCAAGAGGGGAAGGGCCTAAAAAAAAAAAAGAGGGGAAGGGCCTTGCCCACTTTCCAAGCCCATCTGATTTCCTTAGAGCTGCTGGGAGCAGCATTTCCTGCTGGCCCCACAATCCCTCAAGGTGGCTGCATAGAACCTAAACAGGCTCTATGAGAAAGCAATTCCCTCCCACTAGCCTAGACCACAACACCCAACAAATAAAACCACTCTCTCTTCACTAGACAATCTAGAAGGAGCTTGGAGAACAAGCTCTGCTCTGAGGAGGCCTCTGCCATCCTGAGTACAGGCTGTGCTGCACACAAGTCAAAGGAAAACAACTACACCAGCCTTGTTGTTGTTATTTGTCAAAGTCAACTACAATCAGAGCAAGGGAATACTGCCTGGTTCAAAATCAAGAAAGGAGTGTGTCAGGGATGTATCTTTTCTCCATACTTTTCTAATCTATATGCTGAACAGATCATTTGGGAGGCTGGATTCTATGAAGAAGACTGTGCCATCAAGATTGGAGGAAGACTCATTAACAACCTGTGTTATGCAGATGACACAAGCTTGCTTGCCAAAACTGAGGAGGATGTGAAGTGTTGCTGTAGAAGATCAAGGACTTCAGGCTTCAGTATAGATTGCATCTCAACATCAGGAACACAAAAAGCCTCACCACCAGGCTGTCACGATAGAAGGAGAAGTTTGAAGTTGTTAATGATTTCACCTTGTTTAGATACACACAAGCCTCATAAAGTGTGCACACAGATGTCTACTGGGTGACACTCTCTGTGCTGCGCTCTGCGGGGAAGGCAGTGCCAGCATCTGAACCCTGAATTCGTGTCTTTCCAGCAGTCTCTGTCAAAAGGACCCGTCTTTGCGGGGCCGGCGATTGTAATTGTCCTTCCAGCCCCAGGGGGTGTAACAGCGCTCCGGAACCTTCAGTGCGGTGGTGGAAAACCCGCACGGACGGAATACCACGGAGCACCGCGCGCGCCACACTTCCGGGGCCCCTCCACGGCCGCTGCACTCCGCAGTCCGGACGGAGCTCCGCGCAGGCGCACTTCCGCCTGCCACTCCCAGCATGGCTCCCAGCGCGCTCCCAGCGCCGGGCTGTCAACGGAAGTGGGTGTGACAGCCACGGGCCCCCGCGGGGTGCAGGGCCGTGGTTTTGGGGGAGTGGGGTCTGCAGGGTTTGCAATGATGATCCCTCCACAGGAGGCCTCCGCCCGACGGCGGGAGATCGAGGACAAGCTGAAACAGGTGGGTCCTGAGCGGCGAGGGAAAGGGGCCGAGATCGGGCCCTGGCATCTGTTGGTCTAGCAGGCAGGTGGGAGGGGGCACCCCCGTCGAGAAAATGGGTGAAATGGGTTTAGGAGCGAGGCTGGGGGCCCCGAGATCTGTCTCTCCTTAGCCACTGGTTTCAGATGATGACCTTTCCTCTACTTCCCCAGGAGGAGGAGACGCTCTCGTTCATCAAAGACAGCCTGGACAAGAGTGACCAGCTGACCAAGAACATGGTGAGGGACCCCTCAGCTGCAGGGGCCGGCGGGCTTCGGAGCCGGGGAGGAGCGCCATGTCCCCTGGCATCCAAGCCCTGGGTTCTGGCCTGGGTGGTCCTGGTTATCCAGTGCGGATAATTAGGAACAACGTAGCTCTCTTATCAAGTCCAGGCCCCGGGCTCTACTCCTCCGCGGAGACTTCCTTCAGCCCCCACCGGCCTGAACTCTCCTGCTCCAGGTTCTCCATCCTCCCTCCTCTCCTTCAGCCCACGTGTAGTGAGATTGACTAGGTCTACTGGTCAGATCCCACCTAATGACAGAGTGTCCCCTGTAGGGAGCCAAAGACTCAGCCTTCACACTAGAGGACTTTAGGGGTAGAAGGGGTTCAGAAGGGAGAGTCTGAGATTTGACACCCGCACCCTTGCCTGCTTGTGTGGTTCTAGGCAGGTCCCACTGAACCCTAGTTAACTGTGTCTCAGTCTCCTGCTGCTGTTGCTGTAGCAAAATTACCACAGCTGTTACTGTGTTGTCAGCTGCAGCCTTCAGTCAGCTCCGGACTCATGGGGACTCACAGCAGAACGAGGTCGTGCCTGATCCTGCCCAGTTCTTACAGTCTCTGCTGAACTCGAGTGGGCTGTTCAAGTCACTGTGTCAGCCCGTCTCACCGAGGGTCTTCCTCTCCGCAGATGACCCTCCATTTCCCAAAGCATAATGCCCTTTTGTTTTTTCATTAAATTTAATGAAAGTTTACAGAGACTTAGGGTTTCCAGTCATTCACTGTTGCACTTTTCTCCCCGCTCACCCCCTCCCCCAATTTACTCTTCTCTTTGAAAAGTAAAAGAAAAACTCTTTCATTGTTATGCAATTCCTCCCCCCAAGTCCATTCCACTGTGCAGCCTCCATTCTGGACTCCTGTCATGACAATAATACCCAATCATATATCCATTTTAAACAGTTCTCTCCCTCCTCTTTCAGTGCAGCATACATCATTCCTCCCTTCTTTTTCTGTCTTCCCTCAACCCTGATGTCTGTCTTGTTATACAACAGTGACGTTATGCGATATATGTCCTTTTGTGGCCGACATATTTCACTCAGCATAATGTCTTCCAGGGTCACCCATTTTGAATAATATTTATTCATCAGTTCCTTGTTTTTCAATGCAGCATAGTATTCCATTGTGTGAATATACCACAGCTTCTCTATCCATTCATTTGTTGTTGGACACTTGGGTTGTTTCCAACTCCTTGCTATTATGAACAAAGCTGCGATAAACATGGGTGTGCATATATCTGCTTGGGTGGCGGTTATGGTTTCTTTAGGGATAATGCCCTTTTCTAAAGATTGGTCTCACCTGATATTATTATGTGCCATCGACTTGAAGCTGACTCAGCTGGTCAGCGGTGAAAATCCGAGAGATTTTCTGTGGCTGTAAACCACACAGGAGGAGATTGTCCGTCTTCCTCCAGCAGAGCCCCTGGGCAGGTAGTTTTTGAACGACGTGCCTTTGGGTTACCATGAAGCCACCAGGGGAGCTTCCTGGCTTCTCATGGTGGTGGCGGCGTTGTGTACCAGTGTGGAGTTTATTAATTCAAAATGGCTTTCTAGGCACTGAACTTAACTTTGCAGGAATATGCAAATAGGATATGTTAGCCTCTCCATGGGGGATTTCTTATCTCACCAGTCCACAAGGGAACTCACTAGTCTTGCCATTAAATGTGATACAGCAGCAGCAGGAGACCTTCCCTACCAGCAAGGCAGCAGCAACAACAGAGTATGGCTTATCCTTCAGGCCCAGAAATTGTTGCTCCGGGCTCCAGCAGCAGCCGTGGCTGAGTCAGAGAACCAAGATGCGTTTGGACTAGATTGGGAATGCTGTCCTTCACAGACAGAGTCAGATCTAAGAGCCTTTGCCCAAGTTTGTTGGACAGCTGGGGGTGAGGTGAAGCCAATATTGGCAGGACTGAGAACTTTGTAACACAGGCCTTAAGCCATGAGGCTTGCGGCAGAGCTTTCATTTTGGAAGCTGTCCTGATTGAGTGACTGTATTCAGCTATTAAACGGAATTACAGCCTTTAGATTTCCCCAGTGTGGTTCTGTGTAGTCTGTGAGCTATCACATTGGATTTTGGAGCCAGCAAAGCAGAAACATTGGTGTTGAGATGAGTAGAAAGAGATATGGGAGCGTGGGGAAACATGTCTGACCTCTTGGGAATTGGTTTTGTGTTATTGATGCTGTTGACAGAACAGTTACCCTTTGTGAAGTCAGTAAAAGTCAGATATGACCGTCCCTTGCTCTTTTTACAACCCTTGAGTCTGAACCAATCCATAGTTGACCTTCCAGGGGGTTTTGAAACTTGAGTAAATGGCATGAAAGGATTTTCCCATCTTTGTTCCATGGAGCAGCTGGTGGATTAGAACCACAAACCTTTGCTTTGGCAGTGCAGTTCGTTACCGCTAACCCACCATTGATAGCATGCCCTGAGTTGTGAGATGTCAGCCCTGCCCCGGCTTTCATCGTCTGTTGTCTAGAAAACGAGGAAAGGCAGGAAACCCTCATAGGCCTGCTGGTTGAGTAGAAGCAGTAAGGGACAGTCCTGGGGCCTAAGAGCTGGTGCCTCTGCCCCCAGGTGTCTATCCTGTCGTCCTTCGAGAGCCGTCTCATGAAGCTGGAGAACTCCATCATCCCTGTGCACAAGCAGACGGAGAATCTGCAACGGCTCCAGGAGAATGTTGAGAAGACCCTGTCCTGCCTGGACCACGTCATCAGTTACTACCACGTGGCCAGTGACACCAAGAAGATCATCAGGGAGGGGTGAGCCAGGCTCAGAGAGCCCCAGTCCAGGCCACCCTCTCTAGGCCTTTGACGGGAAGGCAAGAATATAGTGGAACCTAGGGTCCCCCCCCCGTCCCTTCTCTTCCTACCCAGACCCTTTGTCCTTTTTCTTTCCTGGCCTCCCCAGCTGATCCCGCTCTTTTGCTGTCAGCCCCACAGGTAGGCTGGAGGAGTACCTGGGAAGCATGGCCAAGGTTCAGAAGGCTGTGGAGTATTTCCAGGACAATAGTCCAGACAGCCCAGAGCTCAACAAAGTGGTAAGGGGCCAGTGAAATACAGTGCAAGGTCTGGAGACCTCAGACCCTGTCCTGGTCTCACAAAGACTGGACCAGCTTAAAGGAGGATATGGTAGAATAAGCAGAAGTGTAGAGCAGACTGCAGGGCCTGGGTGGCCCCGGAGCTTTGCAGTTGGCTGCTAACCTGAAGGTTACTGCTTCTAACTCACCCAGCGGCTCCACAGAGGAAGGGCCTGGTGAGCTGCTTCTGTGAAGATGATTCCCAGGAAACCCAGCATAGCAGTTCTACCCTGCGCCACATGAGGTTGCTGTGGGCTGGGCGGACTTGACGACAGCTAGACCATGAGCAACGGTAGACCACACTTACTGGAGGAATTACAAGGATCAGTGGTGGCATGCTAGGTTAAATGATGGCTGCTGGTTCAGCAGCTTACATCTACCAGATGTTCCGTGTCTCCTCCCAAAAATATGCAGCCTCAGAAACCCCACTGAAGGTCACCAGGAGCAGCAGTTGATTGCGTGGCCGTGGGTGTGACTCGGGGTTTGGATGTATACGGGAGAATCGTCTGGGACTCTGAGAATCCCCAGGCAGTCTTACTAAAGTGAGGGCTCTGATTCGGTGTGGGGGGCTCTGGTGTGTCGTTCTCGGGGAGCTGTGCTGCTCTCCCGAAAGCAGCTCCTCTCTGACGCTCTGGGTCCACACGCAGCTCTGCAGGCAAAGGGTGAGATGTCACTGGTGTGATTGGCGGCCTCTGAGAACCCCCCCCCCCCAGAGGCGGCTAGGAGTTGGTTCTGACTCGGCAGCAGTAAGTGAGTCAGTCTGTCGAGGATGGAAGTGCAGATTTTGAGCAGAGGGTCAAACCTAAACAGCGCCTTGTACTTAGAGAACACAGGGTAAAGGAACAATCAGAGAAGGGTCGCTGGGATGTGCAGGATCACAGGCGGAGGTGGGCTGAGGCCCAGTGTCAGGAAGGCAGGAGCTGGGCCAGACAGCAGGCAGGGCTCTGTGAATGGCCGGTGACCACGATGCCCTTCCTTCGCCTTCCTGCAGAAGCTCCTGTTTGAGCGGGGGAAGGAGTCGCTGGAGTCCGAGTTCCGCAGCCTGATGACCCGGCACAGTAAGGTCGTCTCCCCCGTGCTCATCCTGGACCTGATCAGCGGCGAGGATGAACTGGAGGTGCAGGAGGAGGTGTCCCTGGAACACCTCCCTGAGGGCGTCCTGCAGGATGTGATCCGCATCTCCCGCTGGCTGGTGGAGTACGGCCACAACCAAGGTGAGAGTGCCGGGCTGCTGCGGCCTCCCCTGCCCGCCCGCCGCTGGCGCGGCCTGTGCGGTAGGACCAGGGCCCTGGCGCTCGGTCCCCTTTTCATCTTTAGTAGCCTTGGTGGCACAGTGGTGAAAGCACCTGGCTGCCAACTGAGTGGTCAGTGGTTTGGACCCACGGGCTGCTCTTCAGAAGGAAGATGTGACAGTCCACGTCCTTGAAGATTTATACCCACAGGGTTTCCTACCCTCAGGGTTAGGTCTGCTCTGTGGGGTCACTGCCAGTTAGAATTGACTTGATGGCATTGGGTTTATGTAAGCCATCTTTTCCCCTTTTAATTCTCATTATAATGAAAGTTTACAGAAAAGTTAGATTTTCATGCATTCATTGTTGCACATTTTCCTTCCTCCCTCTCCTCCAGTTCAACTTTCTGTTTTTAAAATATTTATCTACCAACTTTTGCAGTCAGAAACCAACTAAACATGCAACCCAGATGCATTAATAATAATGGGTGACTGGAATACAAAAGTTGGGAACAGGGATCATTAGTTGGAAAACATGGGCTTGGTGTCAGCAGTGAAGCTGGAGATAGAATGATAGAATTCTACACATTCAATGATTTATTCATTGCAAATACTTTTTATTAAAAACACAAACACAGGCTATACACATGGATTTAACCTGGTGGTATGCATAGGAATCAGATCGACTTCATCTGTGGAAAGAAATCGCTGGAGAAGCTCAATATCAGCTATGAAAACTAGGCCAGGTGCTGATTGTGGAACAGATCACCAACTACTCATATGCAAGTTCAAGCTGAAGTTGAAGAAAAGTAAATCCCCAGGAACCAAAATTTGACCTTGAGTCTATCTCATTCTATCCCACTCAAATTTCAAAACCATCTCAGGAACAGGTTTGAGGCCTTGAACACTAATAAGTGAAGACCAGTTGAGCTGTGGGAGGATATCAAGAATATTATCCAGGAAGAATGCTAAAGGTCATTACAAAGGCAGAAGAGGAAGAAAAGACCAAAATGGATGTCAGACGAGACTCTGAATATTAAACTAGAGCACTGAGAAGCCAAAGCAAAGGGAAGAAATCAAGAAATTAAGCAACTGAACAGAAGATTTCAAAGAGTAGCACGGGAAGACAAAGTATTATAATGAAATGTACAAAGAGCTGGAGTCAGGAAATCAGAAGGGCCAAACTCGTTCAGTATTTCTTAAGCTGAAGGAACTGAAAAACAAATTCAAGCCTCAAGTTGCAATACTTAAGGATGCTTTGGGCAGAATATTAAATGATTCAGGAAGCATTAAAAAGAAGATGGAAGGAGTGTACGGAGTCACTGTACCATTATTGGCTGACACAGTAGAATTTCATTAAACAATGTATGAGCAAGAGCCTGTGGTGATGAAGGAAGCTGTTCTGAAAGAATTGGCAAAAAACAAGGCCCCAGGAATTGACGGCATATCAGTTGACATATTTTAGCAAACAGGTGCTGCCCTGGATGCGCTCATCAAGTTGTGCCAAGAAATCTGGAGGACAACCACCTGGCCAACCCACTGGAAGAGATCAACATTTGTTCTTATTCCAAAGGAAGGTGACCCAAAAGGGTGGAAATTACCGAACAATATCATTAATGTCACATGCAAGCAAGATTGCTGAAAATGAGCCAAAAATGACTGGAAAAACACATCAACAGAGAACTGCCAGATGTGAAGGCTGGATTTAGAAGAGGCCATGGTGCTAGGTATATTATAGCTAATATTAGATGGATCTTGGCTGAAAGCAGGAAGTACAAGAGGAACGTCTATCTGTGTCTCATTGACTATTCAAAGCCATTTGACTGTGTGGATCACAACAGTGGCTTACTCTACAAAGAATGGGAATCCCAGAACATTTGCTAGTGCTTACGCAAAATCTACACATGGACCAGGAGGCAGTCATCAGAACAGAGCAAGGAAACACTGCATGGTTCCAAATTGGGAAGGGTATACACCAGGGATGTGTCCTATCTCCACACCTTTGCAGAACAGATCATCTGGGAGGCTGGGCTCTATGTGGCATCAGGATTGGAAGGACATTCATCAACAGTCTGCGTTATGCAGATGACACAACCCTGCTTGTTGAAACTGGGGAGAACCTGAAGCGCTTGCTGCAGGAGGTCAAGGACTGCAGCCTCCAATATGGATTGAAGCTCAACATCAAGAAAATAAAGATTCTCACCCCTGGGCTGATTGGCAGCATCATGATAGATGGTGAAGAGATTAAGGTTGTTAACATCTTTAGTTTGCTTGGCTTCACAATCAACACTCTTTGTACCAGCAGCCTGGAAATCAAGGAACGAATTGCATTGAGAAAGTCTGTTGTTAGGGACCTCTCCAGAGTACTAAAGAGTAACAATATCAGTCTCAAGACTTAAGGTGTGCCTGATCCAACCCATGGTCTTCGCAGTTACTTGCTATGTGTCAGAGAACTGGACAGTGTCTAAGGATGATAGAGAATTGATGCCTTTGAGCTGTGGTGCTGGAGAAGAGTATTGAAACAGGTTCATCCTAGAGAGGGTGAAACCAGGCTCTTCCTTGGAAGCAAGTATTCTGAGGCTTCATCTGACATACTTTGGGCATGTTGCAAGGAGTGTCCAGTCCTTAGGGATATCACACTTGGAAGGGTGGAGGGACAGCGCAAGAGAGGAAGACCATCGATGAAATGGATCGATTCAGTGACTGGGGTAATGAGGGGAGATGTGTTAGAGACAATATGGTTGGCACAGGATAGAGCAGGTTTCAGGGCTATTGTACAGAGGGGTAGCTGTAAATTGCAAGTGACTCGACGGCACAACAGCAACAATCATTCATTCATTCATTCTTGCACAGTTTCCTCCCCCACCCCCAGTCCACTTTGCTGTACACCTCTTATTCTGGACTGTTGTCATACACATAATGCCTGATCGTATAATCCTTTCAAACAGTTCTTTCCTTCATCTGTTCCAATGTAGTGTTCATTATCTAGCCCCTTTTCCTAGTTTTCCACCAGCCTCCCATGTCAGTCCTGTTTTATAACAGTGGTGTGATACCATATTTGTCCTTTTGTGACTGAGATATTTCACTTGGCATAATATCCTCTAGGGTCATACAAGTAGTATAATGCTTTACGAGTTCCTTGTTTTTCAGTGGTGCGTAATATTCTGCTGTGACTATCCCACAGTTTTTCTATTAATTCATATTTGTTTTTGGATACTCGGGTTGTTTCCATCTTTTTCTCTGGTGAATAATGCAACAATAGACATGTTGTTGTTGATTGCCTTAGAGTCGAGCATACCCAGCGACCCTCTGAACAAAAGCCCTGAAGCCTTGCTATAACTATCGTCATTTATCAAAGTTCATGGAGTTTCCAGAGGTGTGTTGTTTAGGAAGTGAATGCCATTCCTGCTTCCAAACCTGTCTTTAACTGGGAGCCCCACCAAACCCTGTCCACCGTGAGTAACCATTAAGGCATTTGACACCCCAGTGGCACAAGGTTCAGCATCACAGCAACCCCAGGTTACCTCAGTACAGCATATTGACAGAAGAGTGCTGTACCACTTAGAAGAATGTTCCTCCAAAATATAATAACCGACTTTTAAATACAAAGTCCCTCCCCAAGGGCTTGTTGACTCTAAACATGAGGCTTAAATAAAAACAACCAATATAGTAAACAACATAGGTATGCATGTATCTGTTTGGGTGGCAGCTCTGGCTTTTTTAGGATATATTCCCAGTAGTGGACTTGCTGGATCAAATGATACTTCTATTTCCAACTTTGAGAAAGTGCCTGACCACCTTCAATAGTGTCTGCACGATTTTACACTCCTACCAGCAGTGAGTAAGAGTTCAAATCTCTTCACAGCCTCAACAGCATTTGTTGTTTGCTGCTCTGTTGAACATTGCTGGCGTGAGATGATCTCTTCAAGTTCTTTTGTAAATCATCTTTTTTTAAGCAAAAAATAGGTATTTAATAGGAAGTAATACAAGCAGTTAGTTTATCAAATTGCCAATGTAGAGAAATCCTCACTTTTTAAATATACTTTTATGTCTCATGATGAAGCTTTAAAAAATCTGTTGTAAACATTTTGAATAGTACAGAAAGCCTTAGGTAAAAAGTCCCCTCCTCACAACCAACCCTGGGTCCTGGGTCCTGGGTCCTGGGTCCTGGGTCCTGCCACGTTAAGGTATTTGTGGTGGTTGTTACTGTGCCGTCGAGTTGGAACCGACTCACAGGTGACCTTCCAGGGTTTTCAGAGACTGTAAATCACATGGCAGGTGACTGCCCAGATGCCTTCCATGGAGGAGCTGGTAGATTTGAACTGCCTGCCTCTGGGTTGGTAGCATAACTCCTCACCACAAGGCTACCTGAGCTCCCTACAGTTTTGAATACCTTTCCAAAAAGTCTTTATGTGTGTGTGTGAGAGAGAGGGAGAGGGAGGGTGATATGAGAGACAGCAAAAGTCCCTGAGTAGTATGATTTGTGCTCAACTGTTAACATAAAGCTTGGCAGTTCATAATTGTGGGGCCATAGAAGAAAGACCTGACAATCTATTCCTGTAAAGATTACAGCCCAGAAAACTATGGCGGAGTTCTCCTCTGTAATACGTGGGGTTGCCGTAAGTTGGAATTGATTGCAGCAGGTTTTATTTGGTCTGGTGTGTGTGAGAGGGAGGTATCTTCACCTCAGTGCTAAATGAGAACACACTAGACTCTGTCCTAGACGACAGGTCTGTCTCTCACTGCCATCTCTTTAGAGCAGACTCGTAGCTGACCCTCTCGCGGCTTTCCAAAGCTCTGTACCTTTCTCCCTTGGAGTCATTAGTAGATTCAGACTGCCAGAGAGCTTGATTTTGGAGCGAGCACATCTTATCCTCTACCAGAGCTCGTTTTTTCTGGGCCCATGGTCCTTGAGTTGTGCTGGGGGAGCCCAGGGGGTGCCAGGTGGTTCAGAGCGCCTCTTGGGATCCAGGAGGAGACCAAGTGGACCCGTCCCCTCCCTTCAGCCACTCTGCCCTTGTCTGTTTTTATGTTGGGGTTCTCTGTGTAGGGTCCTTGTTGGCGGCTGTGGAAAAACCCCATGTGTCTTAGTTCTCTAGTACTGCTGTGACAGACATCTCACTTGGGCAGCCTGTGATAACAAGCAGCGGTGTTGTAGATTTACAGCGTGTGCTCGGAGGGGCGTTGACCCAGTCCGTAACACTCATCCTATAGTGCTCTCCTCGTTCCTCTACTCTGGGGAATTCTCCAGTGTTTCGTGATTGACAAAGGGCTCCCTTGGTCACATCAGGTGAGTGGCTCTGTTGTTTGGGCTTCTGTGAGATAGACCCTCAGGGTGCACTGAGCACACCCACCAGGCCTGAGGCTTCTTCCCACCACGAGCTCCTCTCCCGGTGCTCGGCCGGTTCCTTGGCGCCCGCCCCAGCAGCTCTGCCGCTGTTGCTCTGGACACCGTGGTCGTCTTTGCTTCTTGACGAGGCCGTCAGACGGAGCACAGTGGTTAAGCATCCAACTGCTGATTGAAGGGATAGTGCAAACACCCGGCCGCTCTGCAGAGGAACGAGCTGGCCGTCGACCCCCGTAAAGACCACAGTCGGGCGGCCCTGAGGGGCAGTGCCACTCTGTCACGGGGGGTGTCGCTGTGAGTTGAATTTGACAGCATCTAACAGCCACATCAGGGTTATCAGGAGCCCTGTGATTTTTTTAAAATTTTACCTCATTAACTATGCCAGTGACATTTGTCATCTCACCCGCTGATGTCTGCCGTCTTTGTGCTTTATTTTAACCTGCTGACACTTTCTGACCCTTTACCAAGTTCTATCTAGAGGTTAGCTTTATGTTTTTTGTTATTAAAAACCAGACTTAGGGGTCCAGGTTACAACTGATTATCAGGTCTGGGGGATGGTTTTCTCTGTGAGCGTTCGCCTGGACGAGGCCCCTGGGTGACTGCGACCCAGTGTTGGGGATGGGAAGGGACCCACGTGCTAACAGTGGGTTTACCTGCAGCCCCCAGAGCTGCATCTGGTGGCAGGAGAGGCACCGAGGGGAGACGCTGGCCGCCACTCTCTCGGCAGATTTCATGAATGTCTATTACCGGATTCGCTCCAGCATGCTTGACCGCTCCATCAAGGGCCTGAAGGAACACTTCCGGAAGAACAGCTCTTCCTCTGGGGTCCCCTACTCCCCTGCGATCCCCAACAAGAGGAAGGACACCCCAACAAAGAAGCCAGTCAAGCGGCCAGGTGAGCCCCACCCCGCCTGTGACCAAGCCAGGAGCCTCGGGGCCTGGGGGGTTGTTGTGGGGGTTAGCTAGCAGACCCTTCCGAGCGTGTCTTCATAGTGGACCCCATCTGCAGGTCTCCAGGACAGAGAGCCAGGGTCCACTCACCCGGCCGACCCCTCGGGCCAGCAGCAGTCTGCTGGTCACACTGGCATCAGGGTCACAGAGATGTGCTCAGTCATCTCCCGAGAAACAGTGGTAGTGGGGGCAGAGCACCAGTTGGGTGTTGATGATAGATGCCAAGGCAGAGCTTCTTGTCGGGCATAGTGACAGTGGGCACCAGAGCAGAGCCAGTCGGTGGACATGGTGACAGTGGGTGCCAGGGCAGTCACTTGTTGGATGTGGTGACAGCACACCAGGAGAGCCACTTGCTGGGATGATGACAGTGGGGTACGAGGACTGTCCCTTGTTGACATCATGACATTGGGCACTCAGCCGTTGCTGTGAGCAGTGACCATGAATGCCAGGAGCACATGGCGGCAGTGAGCACCAACGCCAAGCCGCCTACTAGACGCGGAGGCAGCAGGTCCCTGGGCAGAGCCACTTGCTGGCCAGACTGTAGCCACCTGAGAGGCATAAGCTGATGGGTAAGGACAGACAGAAGACGACTTCACCAGCACACCACCACCTCAGCTGAAAGGGACTTTGCTCCGCTCAGGGATAGAAAGTAAAGTGAGGCCAAAGCCCGCTTGTTGGACTTCCCTCAGCTGGTCAGTGGGTCCATGGCTCAGATCTGCTGGGGGGCCACCTCTCCTGACCACTGGCTTGGGTAAGCTCAGCCCGTCTGTTTCTCTGGCCTTCTGTGCCGTGTCCCTCAGAGAAGTGGGTGTCTGTTTGCAAAGCGTGCTGGCTCCCCAACAGGTCTTTGGTGGGTTTCAGAAAATACCTGATTTTAGTGGATGGCTGAAAGGAAGCTGCCCTTGGGCACAGGCAGGCAGAGCAGTAGAGGAGCTGGCCTGGTGGACCTGGTATGGATGCCCTGGCCAGCCTCAGCAAGCCTCCCTGGGACTCAGTGACCCAGCCTCCCTGGCCACAGCTTCAGAAGCTTCCATCCTGTGCCTTGAGGAGCTTAAGGCTGCCGGGCTGAGCCTCAGTGGGCCTGCGGGGCATTCTCGGTGGTCCCATGTGCTCCCAAGCCATGCAGAATAGGACCTTTGGGAGAGTGGACTGGATCTCAGTTACCCCTAGTGGTCTGTCCCACCCTGGGCATCTACCCAAAAGTGGAGACTCGGACTGTGAGGTTCCCCATGGTTGAGGATTGCAGTCAGAGACCCAGAACTCAGGCCTTGGGGAGCCTCGTCCTGTGCTCTGGGGACAGGAGCCGGGAGCCCCGGGCAGTAATGAAATGCCAGCCAGAGCATCGTCTCAGGTAATTGGCTGCCTGATGGCTCTTGCAGCTGTCAGAGCAATGTCCCCGAACCACACGCGTGCCAATGTCCTGATTAGGCTGCTGCTGTGCCTCTGGCCCACTGCCCTCCCAGGGTGTGAGGCCGAAATCTGAGCCGCTCATTAGCAAGGCTGCTCTGTGCAGGAGAACTGGGGCAGGCGGAAGTGGCCTATTAGGGGCTAATTGTGGTGCAGCACTCCAGACTGCACCCCCTCCATTTGCTGGCCTCTGGGGAGCTGTCCAGCACGAAGCCGACCTGCCGAGCGGGGCTGGAGTGGGGGCTGGAGGGACGGAGCTGGCTCTAGGGAAGATGGGTAGAGTCACAGTCATCACCCTTTTTGTCCCCACACGACTGGTTACCCTGGGAGCTCTGTGTGTGTCTACTTAGGGTGTTAATGCATCTCCCCCATTTTCTACCCTGAGACACCAGGTTCCCACAGAATTGGCTGGCCCTGGAGCCAGGGACACTGCAGTTTTTATTGTTTTAACTTGTGATACTAACTGTTGTGTTTTTCTCCCGTGCTGAGAGCATGTCCCCTCCCCTCTGGCCCTCCTCTGCACTCTGGTGGTTTCTGGTGACCCCTTCTTGATTCTGACCTTTTTTGTCCCGAGTTTCTGAGTGGTACTCGGGACCTGGTGCTGGTCTCCCAGCCTCTGTCTAGGGCGCCGCTCTTTCTGGAAGCTCAGCCCCTCTCTGTGGTGTCTGGCTCTGTCCCAGCACTGAGCATGCCCCGTCCGCCTGGAGTTGCTGGCTCCTGATACGCTGGGGGCTCTGAGAGCTTCGTCCCAGACAGCTCTCATTCTGGCTTGGGTGCCCACAGAGGGTTTTTCTTTTTCATTCCACGCCGGTTGAACCCTGGACTCACCTCCCATTGAGTAGTGGATTAACTGGTAGTGGACTTGAATTTCACTTGGAGAACACGCGTTTCCTCTCCTGGGCCCCCATCCTCGGTCTCAGGGGTGCAGGGGGCGGGTCTGCTGGGAGAGGCAGGTCAGGGGCATGCTCACCGCTGGGCGCTGGGTGGGCCAGTCGGTGGAGGGCTGCTGCTGGTTTTTCTCGCTCATTTCCTAGGTCTTCTTATCTCCTCTGTGTGTGGCTCTGGTGACAGGGACGATCCGGAAGGCTCAGAACCTTCTGAAACAGTATTCCCAGCATGGTCTAGATGGGAAAAAGGGGGGCTCTAACCTCATTCCTCTGGAAGGTAATCACCCTGTGTTCCTCTCCTCTCTCCCGCCTCTCCTCTTTGTGTCCTTTCACTGGGCAGGGCCGAGCCTCCAGCCACTCAGGAGGCCTGGGGTGTCGCCTGAGGTGGGGGCAGGCGGGGTGAGACAGGATAGTGGCCCTCGGCTGGGTCCTGTCTGGCTGATGGTGGCTCTGCCCCCCGAGCCCCCTCTTTCCCTTCCTATCTCTGTCCTTGTCACCTCTTGGAATTCAGGGAACATTCTTTCTATCGGGGCAGCCCTTTCACGCTCAGACCAGCAGTGACAAGACCAGACCAGCTCGAGTCCCCGCCACCCCAACCCTCAGCTTTGGGGAGGGGAGTACATGGGTCCAGGGGCCAGGCTGCCCGTAGGAACCTTAGCCAGAGGAGGGGGCAGCTAGGTCTCCTGCTGATGGACCTGTCATCCTTCAGAAGGTGGCTCTGGGGGACAGACAAAGGCTGACCCCACCCATGCCTCAGTGGACTTTCTCTTAACTTGGGTTTGGGGAGCATCAGCCCCTCCCTTCAGAAGCCCACTGCCCCTCAGCCTGCTCCTGGCCACCCAGCAAGAGGCGCCCGCTCCCAGGACAGGCCTGGGCCCTGCGTGTCAGGCTTGAAACGGCTGTGCCCAAGGTGGTGTGACTCAGCGGAGGGGCTCAGTGCCTCCCCGCCCTTTCCCTGTCCCCCATCTCGTGTCCCCTCCTGGAGACCAAGTGCTTCTCCCGGGCCCCCCCCACCCGAGGGGCAGCCGCCGGCCCTGGATAAAGCACCGCGTGTTTGTGCGGCTGCCGTCTCGCTAGGTCACGAGCACGATTTCCGCGTTAAGCACCTGTCCGAGGCCCTGAACGACAAGCACGGGCCACTGGCCGGTGAGTACTGCAGCCCAGTGACCCGGCTGCAGCCTGGACTGACCTGGCCGCTGTCCCTGTCTCTCGGCCCTGGTCTCTCGCTTGGGCACCACATCTTCTTGACACTCTTCAAACACCAGTGCAGCCGCTCCCAGAGTCCTGGGTCCAGAACAAGCCGTCCACTCAGGAGCTGGCTTTCCAAGGACAAGATGGCCCAGCATCTTGACTGCAGAGAGCTGTACCCTTCTGAGCCCGAGGAGGCCTGGCTGGTCCCGCTGCTATGGCCTCAGCAGCCAAGAACGGGAGCGCGTCTCCCCGGGCCGCGGACAGCCTTCCACTGAGGAGCTCACTTTGCTGGCTGCAGATTCTGACCCTTGACAAGCTAGGCTTATCGTGCACAGCCCCCTGCCCCCTGCCCTCTTCCATGACCAGAGGCCTGGATGGCTGTCGCTGTCTGAGAGGCCAGTGTTTCCTCTGGTGGCTGACCACATCACTTGCCACCTGCCCTCGCAGCCTACGTCTCTAGGGCGACCTACAATCCTTGGCCCTGCCAAGCCGATGGGCCACAGAGATTTTCCCTCCTGGTCCTTCTCCCCTCTCTGATCCTCCTGGACTCTGGGGACAGAGAGACTGGTCAAGGTGGAGAGCGCTATGGGTGGGCTCCCTCCTAGTTTCCCCACCAACCTGATCAGGCAGTGATACTCAGGCGGCTTCCTGCCCCAGTCTGGGCCGAGGGTCAGGAGCTGGGAGAGCCACCCCGGTGGGGACAGGCTCAGGGACACTGCTGTGCCCACAGGGAGAGACGACATGCTAGATGTGGAGACGGACGCCTACATCCATTGTATCAGCGCCTTCGTGCGGCTGGCCCAGAGCGAGTACCAGCTGCTGACCGACATCATCCCAGAGCACCACCAGAAGAAGACCTTCAACTCGCTGATTCAGGTCCCACCCCCGCCCCACGAGCTCCACCAGCACCTCTGGGTCGAGTTTGGGACGTAGTTCTAGGGGTCAGTCCACAGTCCCTGGGTAGGTGACACAGATTGTTTTTACTCAGCTTCTAACCTGAAGGTTCATGGTTCACACCCACCCAGCACCTTGTCTGAAAGGCCTGACAGTCTGTTTCCGTAAAGATTATAGGCAGGAAAGCCCTGGGGAGCAGTTCTGCTCTGTGGTATGTGAGGTGCCTCGGTGGGGACTGAGGGCACTAGGCTTAGTTTTGGTGTTTTAGGGTGCCAGTCCTGGATGGTATGTCCCAGGCGGTACTGCCCTGTGACTCCCTCCCTGCTGCTACAAGCTAGCTTCCCCACTTTCCTCCACTCACCGTAAGGTCCCCTCGCTGGGGCGGCCCTGAGCTAGCTCCCCCACCCCCCTCCTCACCATAAGGTGCCCTCACTGCCCACCCTGGCTCTGAGCTAGCCCCCACCCCCACCACAAGGCCCCCTCACTGCCCGGCCCTGAGCTGCCCCCCCCCGACACACACACACACATCCCCCTCCTCACCAGAAGGCACCCTTGCCGCTGGCCCTGCCCTGAGCTGGTCTCACCACCACCACCAGGATGCGCTGGAGGGACTGATGCTGGAGGGTGAGAACATCGGGGCCGCCGCCCGGAAGGCCATCGGCCGGCACGATTACTCAGCGGTGCTCACTGTCTTCCCCATCCTGCGGCACCTCAAGCAGACCAAGCCTGAGTTTGACCAGGTGCTCCAGGTATGTGAGCGAGGAGCTGGCAGGAGAAACCAGTGCTGCCCTCCACACCTCCACGCAGACTCAGAAGGAAGCAGCTACCCAGGGCTCTGGGGTGGGTGAGTGCCTGTGTCCCCGGGTGCAGCGGGCAGGGGGCTGGGCAGACGAGCTCCGCCAGTGCAGTCAGGTGCCTGCTTCTCAGGGCACAGCCGTCAGCACCAAGAACAAGCTGCCCAGCCTCATCATCACCTTGGAGAACACCGGAGCCAAAGCCCTGGAGGACTTCGCCGACAACATCAAGGTGCACGCGCACACCCACACACACACATACCCTCCCCCCCACCCCCGGTCCCCTGCACCTGACGTGCTGCAGGCCAGGATCACCCACAACATCAACGTGCTGCTTCCCGCTCCCCTGCACCTGACCCACTCCCCTGCGCCTGACCCGCTCCCCTGCGCCTGACCTGTGTGTTGCAGGCCAGGGTCACCCATGTGCTCAGAAAGACCAGGGTAGCTTGGGGCTGGTGGAGGGGAACTGCCTGCACTACTGGTTTCCGGTCACATCCCACTCGCCGATCCCCTTTCCTTCCCACTGGGGTCAGGGTCAAGAGTCCTCTGCTGTGGGAAGCTCCCTTAGCCTGCAGGTGCCCTGTCACCTGCCCACCAGGAGATGGCACCATGAGCAGGCCAGACCTGGGGTGTGAGGCAGGAGAGCCAAGCCTCCAGGTGCTCAGGGAATCAGGTGCAGATTGTGAATGCACGTGGATGCTGACCGCAGGGTTCGAACTGAGTCTGTCTATAATTACTTCTAAAGAAAGACCTGGCCGTGCCCGCCACAAAAGCCAGCATTGAAAACTCTGTACAGTCCTGACTAAACGGGAGAGAACGCAGAACAGACAGGGAAATGTTCATGGAATTAAAGCTTTCTGGAGCCAGTGAGGTTAAATGAACCTTTGAAACTATTATTCTGAATAAAATCTTAAACCAAAATTATATCCCAAAGTATTCTTAGACATAAAATAGTATTTCCGTTTAACTAGCAAATGACTGGTGAGCATGGTGCTCTTTTAAGATGTGTCTATGTGGCATCAAATTGACAACAGCGACTGGGAAGGTTAAGAGGACCCTTACAGGGCAGTGAGTTTACATTAGTGGGGGAGGAACAGCTTGGGAAAGGAGAGCGAGAGGGCGGCCTGACGTGAGAAGGTCTGCAGCGTCACTGAATCCTGCGTGCAGAAACTGCTGAACGAGCATGTGTTCTGCTGTCTAAATTCTCAACCACAAAAGTGAAATAAGTTATGAACACAGAGCGCTCGCGGGAGAGCATGGTTCTGGCAGTGTGGGGGCCTGCGGGGTGGAGTGGGCACAGCAGCAGCACCCCCTTGTTGGGCTTTCCCCACAGAACGATCCGGACAAGGAGTACAACATGCCGAAGGACGGGACGGTGCACGAGCTCACGAGCAATGTGCGTGCTGCCCGCGAGCCGGGTGGAGCTTGCTGGAGTTGCCCTCCTGGGGTCGGGGGGTCGGGGGTGCAGGGTACACAGGAAGTGCTGACAGCACACAGGCCTCTCCCAGGCGTCAGAAGCCCTTGGTTGGCGTGTGGTCTACCCTCGTGTGGTGGGGCGTATATGGTGAGCTACACTCAGAACTTTGGGTCCTGCCTCTGACCCTTTCCTGCACCTGTGTCCCCTCCTACTCAGGCCATCCTCTTCCTGCAGCAGCTTCTGGACTTCCAGGAGACAGCAGGTGCCATGCTGGCCTCCCAAGGTACTGGGCACCTCCCAACAGGCCTTGCTTGCCGCTCCCTCCTGTCTCTGGTCTGGAGATGGGGGGTAGGCCCCTTGGGGAGGGCAGGCACTGTGATGAGTCACCTTGTGGGGTGCTGAGCTGTGGGGCCTCCCAGCTGGGGTCCAAAACAAGGTCTGACTGACCATCCTTGGTTCCTTGCTCTGTCCTCCTCCTCCTGGGACTGACCCCTGTCCACACCCTGTCCCTTCCGTGTCTCTGCACTTCCTCCTGGGTCTCACTCAGCTGACTTCCAGCGGTGGTGGGGGGTCGTCTGCCCACTGAACACGGACCCGGAACTGCAGCATGGGGGCTGGTATGGAAACAGGAAAGCATTTGTGGGTGTTCCAAGCACTGGGGACCAGACCAGCTTCTTGAGACCCCAGAGCCGCCCATGCTGGGGGCATGGAGCCCAGGGACAGCTCCGGCCCACAGTTCTGCAGGCATAGCATGGTCCCCAGTGGGCCTGGCCCGGGTGTGTCCTATGTGGGGTGCTGGCTGTCATGAAGTGAGGTCTGTGTGACTTGGGGGTGGCCGTTTCTAACCTGTTTTCACACTTTGCGTCTCTTTTCCTCATCTCTCCTGCATCCCCTCTATGTGCTCTGCCTCTCACTTCGTAGTTCTTGGGGACACATACAATATTCCTTTAGACCCCCGAGGTAAGCAGTGGGCCTCTGCATCCCTTCCCCCTCTAAAGCCCCTTGGTGAGGTCCCCTGGGGACAGACGCCTTGACAGACTCAGGACAGGCCTGCTGGGGGGAGTCCCAGGGGAGTCGGCTCCTGCAGGGTGCTTCTGACTCCTTGGCGCCCATCATGGCCGTTTCTGTCTAAACCCTCACCGGCCGCGCTCTGCTCTGCCAGCACCCCTCAGTTTCACCTTGCACCTGCCTCTGCCCCGCTTTGCCTTCTTGGCCTCCTGCTCTGTGCAGGCAGCAGACTCTTGTGTGCAAGGGTCTGGGACAGGAGACCCCAAGACCTCCCTGTTGACAAGTGGGATGTGGGTGCCACCCAGCAGGGGCTGGGCTGGGGTGGGCAGAGGGCATTGGCACACACTCTTGTCCTGTCAGCTTTCCTGTGATCTGCCTCGGCCTGGCCCTTAACCACCCCACCCCAGTCTGGCACAGGGCAGCTGCAGGTTCCTGACGCAGCTGAGGGCAGTATGCCCTGTGACAGGAGGGCCTGTGGCTTGGAAGGTGCCAGTTCTGCCTCCAGAGAGCTCTGTAGCGCACCTGCCCAAGGAAGGCCGCGGCACATTTCTCTTGGACGGGAGGGCAGGGCTAAGAGGCCCTTGTCCACTGCCGCAGCCTTAATGACAGGCCTCTCTCCTCGTAGAGACCAGCTCTTCAGCCACCAGCTACAGCTCCGAGTTCAGCAAGCGGCTTCTGAGCACCTATATCTGTGAGTGTCCTCAGCTCCAGTGGCCCTGTCCCTGCCCGCCAGGCCTCCTCCTCTGTCAATGTTCTGTGTTCCATCCTGGGGCCACCCACCCATGGGACTTACAACCTCCCCACTGGTCCAGCGACCAAGGAGTGATGGATGGGAGTCGTGTGGGTCACAGGACTGTGTCCCTGGCTCAGACTGATGAAGAGGTGTGGCCGCATCCTCCTCTGGGCAGGTAAAGTCCTGGGCAACCTGCAGTTGAACTTGCTGAGCAAATCCAAGGTGTATGAGGACCCGGCTCTGAGCGCCATCTTTCTGCACAACAACTACAACTACATCCTCAAGTCTCTGGAGAAGTGAGTGGCCTCAGGCCTGGTGGCTCCGTGCTTCCCCCAGGCTGGCCCAGTGGCTGTCATCTCCCCCAGGTCCCTGCAGCTGCACCCCTGCAGGCCTGATCTGCGGCTCTCAGACCCCACCTTGACCATGCAGCGCCGGCTGTTGCACAAGCAGGGAGTGGCTCCTCTCGGTCCCCACGGCTGCGAGTACAGCCCTCTTAGGGCTCTCTCAGATCGGGACGTGCTGGGGGGTCCTTCTCTGAAGTCCTCGTGCTGCTGCTGCAGAGTACCAGCCCTGTGTCAGCTGTGCCAATGCCCTCTGTGCCCCCTGCCCCAGGTCTGAGCTGATCCAGCTGGTGGCCGTGACCCAGAAGACTGCAGAGCGCTCCTATCGCGAGCACATTGAACAGCAGATCCAGACCTACCAGCGCAGGTAAGGGGCTGGCCACCTCTGGCCGCGATCAGCCTTTCTTGTGCCCAGGACCACTGCTCACCCATCCTGTACCCTGGGACCACTGCTCATCCTTCCTGTACCCCAGGACCACTGCTCATCTTTCCTGCACCCCAGAAACACTGCCTACCCTTCCTGTACCCCGGGACCACTGCTCACCCATCCTGTACCCTGGGACCACTGCTCACCCTTCCTGTACCCCAGAAACACTGCTCACCCTTCCTGTACCCCAGAAACATTGCTCACCCTTCCTGTACCCCGGGACCACTGCTCACTCTTCCTGTACCCCAGAAACACTGCTCACCCTTCCTGCACCCCAGAAACATTTCTCACCCCTCCTGTACCCCAGGACCACTGCTCACCCTTCCTGCACCCCAGGACCACTGCTCACCCTTCCTGCACCCCAGAAACACTGCTCACCCTTCCTGTACCCCGGGACCACTGCCCACCCTTCCTTTATCCCCAGAAACACTGTTCACCCTTCCTGTACCCCAGGACCACTGCTCACCCTTCCTGTACCCCAGAAACATTGCTAACCCTTCCTGTACCCCGGGACCACTGCTCACCCTTCCTGTACCCTGGGACCACTGCTCATCCCTTCTGCACCCCATGACCCTGGTCAGAGCCTCAAGACTCCCCAAATGGCCACTGTTCTTGTGTCCAGTTATTAACAGCAGAGGGAAGCTCCCGCCCCATCTGTCCCTCTGAGGACCCTGTGACTGTCCTCTGTAGAGGGAGCCCCATGGGGCTAAGAGGGTTAAAGCTCATCACGAGTCCACTGTCTGCTGTGGGCAGTGTTGAGCCCTAGAGACCAGCAAGGCTGCAGAACCACTGACTAAGCCTCACTGATGGAGCCCTGGTGGCACGGCGGCCAAGCACTGAACGTCAGCAGTTTGAACCCACCAGCAGCTCTGAGGGGGGAAAATCGATGACTCGCTCACATGGTGGTCACTAGCAGTCCCTGCATCGTCTCCAGGCGCTGCTTTCAGCCACTGCCGGGCCCTCTCAGTGAGCGTCCACCTCGCTTCCCTGAACCTCTCTCTCCCAAGCGCAGTGTCTTCTGGGGGCCTGGCCCTCCTTATAGCACGTCCACAGTGCATGTGAGGACGGCTCACCATCACTGCTTCTAAGGAGCATCCTGGCTTAGAGCCCCTGCAGGGCTGAATCTTTCCGTTATGACCCTGGCTGATTCCTGTCCACCCTAAATAATTTAGGAGATTTAAAAACACAATAAACCCCAAAGGGTGAAGTGCTAAAGGCTTTCCCAGTGCCCTGATGCTGCTGTGGTTACATAAAGCATTTAGCTGGTAACTTGATGGTCGGTGGTTCTAACCCACAGCTGCTCCATTGGAGGAAAATGTGTTCGTTTACATCTGTGAAGAGTAAAAAGCAAACCTAACCCGCCGCTGTCGACTCAGTTCCAACTCACAGTGGCCCGTATCTGGTTCCCAAGGCTGTAGGTCTTTCCGGGAGAAGACTGCCTGTCTGTCCCAGGGAACAGCTGGTGGATCCCACCTGCCAGCCTTTCGGTTAGCAGCCGCACACACACACACTCCATGCTGTGGCCAGGTCCCCTCAGCCCTCTAGGGACCCTGGGAGTTGGAGTCTGCAGAACGGCGGCAGGTTGGGTTTGGGCTGTGACTCTCAGAAGTCCCTCCTGGTGCCCTGACGCCCGTCCCCCTGCCTTGGCAGCTGGTTAAAGGTGACAGACTACATCGCGGAGAAGAACCTCCCTGTGTTCCAGCCTGGAGTCAAGGTGGGCTGGCACGGTGCTTGGCAGCTGGGACAGAGGGCAGGTGTCCTTTCCAGGAGAGGAGAGAAAGACTGGGACCTCGAGGTCTTAGGGGGTGAGTGGGGCGGCGAAGGCCTTGATCTGAGGACTTTCTGCCCTCTTCGTCTGTGTCCCCAGCTCCGGGACAAGGAGCGGCAGGTGATCAAGGAGCGTTTCAAGGTGAGTGGGGTTGGTTCCCCCACCCACGCCTACCTTCCCCCCACCCCCGCTGCCCCTGCTGTGCCCAGAGCATAGGGCTTTGTGTGAACAGGGCTTCAATGACGGCCTGGAGGAGCTGTGTAAAATCCAGAAGGCCTGGGCCATTCCGGACACGGAGCAGAGGGACAAGATCCGCCAGGCTCAGAAGCACATCGTCAAGGAGACGTACGGGGCCTTCCTGCACAGGTAAGCACGCCCTCCCTGCCCGGTCCCCTTGGCTGGGCTCTAGGACAGAGGCAGGGGTGGGGTGGGGTGACGTGAAGGTGCAGTCGCAGCTGCTGGGACCCGACTGGGAATGCCGGAGCTGCTGACCGTCACCACGGTGCCTCTCAGGTACAGCAGCGTGCCCTTCACCAAGAACCCTGAGAAGTACATCAAGTACCGCGTGGATCAGGTGGGCGACATGATCGACCGCCTTTTTGACACCTCTGCCTGAGCCACCTGATGCTGCCCAGGTCACCAGTGTAGATGTGTTATCGAACAAATAAACCAGTGTTAACAGGCCTTGGCTGGCTGAGCGAGAAGTCCTTTGGGGCCGGGACCTCAGTTTCACTGCTGCCCTTGGGAGCCCCTTAGCCCCAGCCTCCACAGCTGTGCAGCCCACTGTCAGCACCCTGGATCTTCACGCTGGGAGCTTGTGACCCCGACTGTGGCCTGCAGAGCCATGCGGGGGCTTCTGGGAAGGCAGAGAGGCCCACAGGCTGCCTCTATGCAGAGCAGAGAGGGGAACAGTCCAGCTCTGTGCGTCACGACCTCCTTCCTCCAGGAACACGGAGCATAGGGACGAGAAGAGCGAGGAGGGTGGGAAGGCTTGCCCAGGATGAGGGCAGCCCTGAGCCCTGGAGTGCCGCCCAGGAGACCCAGGGTGAGAGGGCAGCAGTGCTTTCCCTCTCTGTCCTCCAGGGAGCCAGACAGTGTGCTCTTGAGACTGTCCCCAGCATCCATGCCTCCTGGCCCACGGCCACGCAGCAGTGGCAGAGGCACAATTCAGCCACGTAGCTGGGGGGCGGGGTGACAGGTAGACCATAGCAGGCGGATGGTCGTGGGCAGTTGGAGGTGCAGGTGGGTCAGGGTGGAGGCAGAGAGGCGAGAGGTCAGTGCAGACAGACCCACGTGCACTTGGGCAGCAGGTTTATTTCCCCCCTCCCCTTCTCTCTGGAGCCTCCTTGGGCCCTCCCCCAACCCAGGGGCCCCAGCCGGTCTCCAGGCCTGAGCCTGACATGGAGTGGTCTCCCGTCTCCCTGTTAGAACCTGGGCCGCCCACCATGCGGCATGGCCTCGCCAGGGGCCGGGTCTGACTCGCACACCGCCCACATCCAGATGGTCGCAAAGATGACCTGGCTGAGCACGACCCCGGCCACATAGGCCAGGAAGAAGATGCGATCCGCAGCCTCAGCCCAGCTCCTCCTTGACCCCTTCCCTCCTGCGGGGGGAGAAACAGAACCTGAGAGGTCCCTGGATGAGACAGCCCGCCTTGTAACCAATGCACTTGACAGCCCAGAGGATCAGCGGCCTCTCCCCCAGGCCTCTGGGCTGTAAGCCAGGCCCGGCATTCCGTGATGCTGCGTGTGCTGGTACTTCCAGACCTCCAGCCCCAGACCTTCTCTGCAAGGCATGGCCTGGGCCTCTTCTAGGAGCAAGTGGCGGAGCCCAGCAAGGAGGGCCAGCAGAGCAGCACTCGCTGGGAACCTCTAAGCCCTGTCAGAGGACCCCCAGTCTCTAGGGGTGCAGCTTGCCAGCCCCACTTTGCCTCCCAGCCTCCTCCCTCCTCCCTGAGCCCACGAGAAAGACTCAGTCACCCCCACCCCCGCACGCTGCCTACCTTGAGGCCCGGGTCCTGGGCTCCCCGGCTCTTGCCCCTCCCTTGTTGGAGTGGGACTGACACTGACCTTGGCCCCCTGGCCACCCCGGGCCAGCAGCCCAGCGAGCAGCACCGTCTCCACGGTGCTGAGGAAAAGCAGGAGCAGCAGGACAGTGAAGTAGTAAACTAGGGGACAGAGCGCAGTCAGGCACCGCTGGGCCCAGGGGCTGTGCGCAGCCACCCGCTCCGGGGAACAGCGGCAGGGGGGACGGCCAGCTTACTGAGCAGCGGGTTGCAGGAGGAAGAGCTGGGCAGCGCCTGCACCAGGGACGAGTGGAAGACGAGATAGCCTAGCAGCAGGGTCACCTTGTAGCCCAAGCGCTCTGGGGCCTGAGGGGGCAGCAGCCCCCCACACACGTCAGCCACCAGCAGTGCCTCCCCAGGGACCAGCAGGGAAATGATGGTCTTGAGTGCCGTGTTCTGCAGCCTCAGCTGGAAGGGAGGCAGAGGGTGCGGTCTGAGGGGGTCACCACAGGGGGCGGGAAGCAGGAGGTGGGTCCTGACCCCGGCTCAGCCCCTCACAACTCACCGTGACCCGGAAGCAGGGCACCAGGTGTTTGGGTGGGACTTGGATCTTCAGGTCATGAACTCTGTATTCCCTTTTCACACTGACCATCTCGTTGACCGCGTGGGCCCGGAACTCTAACTCAGTCACTGGAGTGGGTTTGGGCGAGAGGGGCCACTGGAAGAGAGGTCCTCCTGCCCCTGGTGGTTCTGGGGACGTGGGGCAGGGCAGACCCAGAGCCACTCCCACAGGCTCCGGTTTTGGGGTCAGAGCTGAAGAGTCAACCTCAGTGGGGACTTCCCAGGCCTTGTTCCCACTCGGTCCAGTCTGACCTTATCAGACGAGTTTTCACTGTACAAATAAATGGGCATTGCACCACCTTACAGACACACACCAGCCCCTCCTCTCAGACCTAAAATATTTGTGGGGTACAAGAGTGGTCCATCACCAAACACAGGAGGTGTGCAAGAAACGGGGTGGGACTTCTTAGCACCTAGCCAGCCTGGGGCAACTGCCCCTCCCACCGCAGCTCAGGAGAGGGTGTGGCAGCCTGAGTCCCTCCCTCCCTCCCCAGCTTAATGCAATGACAGGCCCCCAGTGCAGCCCAGTTCTGGGGGGACTGGCGGGGGTGAGGGCTGAGTGTCATGGCTCCAGGGCACCTCATGTGATGTTGGGGGTGAGATTGGCCCTAGAGGAAGGCTCCTGGGCTCCTGCCAAGCGCACAGGTGCTAGCTGAGGTGATGTTGAGAGGTGAAGGGAGGTGGGTGTGTTCAGCCCCCTTTAACCTGGGGTGGCAAAAAGCTGTGCTGTGTTCCCAAAGGCCCTGGTTTGGATCCACTGACAGCTCCCTGGGAGAAGGATGGGCAGTCTCCTCCTGTGCAATTTACTGTCACTGGAGCAGCCGGGAGGTGGCCAGTGTGAATACAGGTCCAGGACTTGGGCCGCAGGTCCCTCTGCCCCCAGGTCGGTACCTGTGTTGCTCAGCGCATAGAAGCTGAGGCTGCAGTCACTCTGGTCCCCTGGGAATCGGAGCAGCTCGAAGTCACAGTTGGTCTCTGTGGTGAGCGACAAATAGAGCTCCACATTGCCAACAGGGTCCACGCGCGCGCGTGGATTCTGGTCCCGCCAGTCCACCCAGAGCCTGCGTAGGAGAGGCTATTTGGGTGCCCAGCCCGCAGATGTTGGGGGGGAGAGGTCAGCGCGGGGTGGACTGGGTGGGAGTAGTGGGGGGAGTGTGTGCATGTGGGCAGGTGCCCTCACTTACGACTCCTGGATGGTGAGCCCGGGGATCCAGAGTGAGTCCCAGGGCAGCGTGATGGCGCGCTGCGGGTGCGCACTGGCGTTCCAGGCCAAGCGGGTGTCCAGCCAGGACTGGAGACACAATATGGGACCCTGTGAGTGCCCAGCGCCTGCCAGCGCAGCTGCACTCAGAGCTAGGGTCTCCCGCCCCTTCCTCGTGAGCACTCACCAGCCGAAGCAGCAGCACCGAGGACACTGTGTACCGCAGGATGTCCTAGGAGAGGGTGGCATGTGTCACGGGTGTGGTGGGGGGGTGCGCGCCGGAGGAGGCAGGGGAGCAGCAATCTGAAGCCCCTCCACTTTGGGCACTTAGTCCCGTGTCCTCCCACCCCTGCACTCACCACGTTGAACACGTTGGACAGGAACACCTGCACAGCCACCAGCAGTGGCGCGGTCCCGTTACTTGGGATCTGGAGAGGGTCCTGAGTGGCCCTGGATGAGCCCTGAGCTGGGGGCTGGGGGTGGCGTTCCCTTGGGTATCCTGAAGACCTGATGGTCTCTCTCCTTCCATCTGCTTCTGGTTGGGGTGGGCTGTGCCCCTGGGCCAAGCGCCTGGGGATGCTGAGTCCCAGGATGGCGATATGGAGGAGCAATAGCAAAGCCATGACTGGTGCACTGACAGGAGGGCTGAGGAGTCAGGCCTGAGCTGAAACCTGCGGTTGGTCGGAGGGTAGCAGAGCTCTGAAATGCAGCTGCTCTGCGGAGGGATCCTAGGGCTTGGACTTGGCACCCCACCCCCATTCTCATTTGGCAAACATGGAGGACAAAGCCTTGCACCTGCTTCAGCTTCCCTGTCCCGCTCCATTTCCACCACCTGGGACCTGTTGCCACATCAAGGGGGGGTAGGGTTTCTCTCTCTCTCTCTCTCTCTCTCTCTCTCTCTCTCTCTCTCTCTCTCTCTCCACCCACCCAACCCAACAGGGTCCTTCTAACCCGGGCAAGATGCAGGATGGTGCTCAGGCCCGTGGTTCCATGTCAGCAGCTTGCCTCGCTATAGGCTGAAACCACAGTGCACCTGACGGTTGGTGATGCCTGATGGTTGGTGATGCCTGATCTGATCTCTAAACATCAAACTGATCTCATGTTGAGTGCAAGAAATCCAAATCCAAGAGTGGGACAAACCTGGGGCAGAGGCCAGTGCAAGGGCAGAGACCTGAGGCAACCCTCCATCAGCTGTCAGCCCCAGAGCAGCGAATTCTTGCCCCAGGAAGAGGGGTGGTCAGGGTCGCACTTGCTGGTCCCAAGGAAAAGCAGAGCCACTGGAGAACCAGGGACAGCAAAGAAAGGAGTCCTGAGGCTGAACAGGGTGGGGATGGGGGTGGGGGGGAACTGACCAAGCTCCAAGGAGGCCCAGGAGACTCTCAGGGGCCCAGGGAGCGCCACACACTGGCTCCCCACCACCACTTAGGAACACACGTACTGTCTGTACTGTCTGTGTCTGTCATCGACTTTATTGAGTGCGTGTAAACACCGCGCCTGCCTCTGCCGCACGTACTGACTACTGCTCATTTGGCGATCTATAAATCTCCAGCACAAAGGGCTTTGGGCCCTCTCACATTCTTCCTTCAGTGGGAGGCCACTTCCGGACAGTCCAGCAAGACGCCCCGCACCCAGACATCTAGACCACACCCCGTGAAGTGCCAGAGCTTCAAGACATGACAAATGCAGACAAAGTGCCTAGCTACAGGAGAAGTGCTTTGCGCGTTTTATTAGTCGTTGAGACTGCCCCTACTACCTTCTCAACGTCAAACTCCAACCCTTTTGCACCCAAGTCTCCCCTCAAGTGCCATCAAGTGACATTAACTAGGACACCGTTGGTAGCCTTTGGGTCCTGCCAGGCCCCACAGGGACCAGGGCTTGAGGCCTGGCCGCCGGGAGGCGCCTGGGTAGGGGCTAGGGGCACAGCCACCTCGCTGACGTGCGTCAGGTCAGTGGACTCGCGCTCCAGGACGCTGCAGCTGTGGGTGCCCGGCGGGGCGACGCACACGCGGCCAGAGGCGCGGCGGGGAGCGCGGCGTAAGAGGCCCGCGCAGATCTTGCGGAAGCCCTTGCGGAAGTGCTTGGAGACGAGTGCGTAAACGATGGGGTTGACGCAGGAGTTGGCGTAGGAGACGAGGTGCGAGAGGATGCGCAGCGCGTAGGTGGCGCGCGTGAGCGGGAAGCGGCCGAACCAGACGCAGAGGATGAGCGCGTGGTGGGGCATCCAGCAAAGGCAGAAGAGCGCGGCCACGATGACGATCATGCGTGTCACCTTGCGCTTGGCGCGCCGAGCGCCGGAGCCTGCGGACACCGGGTCGACGGCGCGCCAGAGGTAGCACAGGGTGCGCGCGTATGTCAGGCCAAGCACCAGCACGGGCAGCAGGTAGCTGAAGACGAAGGTGCAGAGGTCCATGGCGCGGCGACGAGGAGCGCTCCACGCCGGGTGGCACACGGTCAAGTTGGCCAGCTGCGACTGGCGGTAGTAGCTCAAGTAGGGCCCAGAAAAGAGCAGAGACAATCCCCAAATGAGCCCGATGGCCGCCAGGGCGTTGCGAGGCGTGCGAAGCTCTCGGGAGTGCAGAGGGTAGCGGATGGCCAGATACCTGTGGGTCAGGAGGGACGAGACCATAGGTGAGTGAGCGCATTGGCTCAGGCAGGCCCACGACACTTGCACCTCGCGGCCCCTGTTGGAGGTTCCAAGGTCATAGTCACTTCGTCCACACCTGGAGAGCCACCCTTCCTATGAGGAAAGAGATCCACTCCCTGGTCCCACAGTGACATGGGGCGGGCGCGCGGCTACAGAAATGGCAAGTCCAGACCACTTGTCTTCCTCAGGATCGCAAACCTCAGCGGTTTCTCCCAGGGTCAGGGGGTGGGGGTGAGGGACTCCGAAGTCACGGGGAGGTAAAGATTGGAGCACCGGGTTTGGGGCCCCAGGAGCCTAAATGTGATTACCCACCGAGGCTGTGCCACCTCTGGAAGTTAGGACAGGCTCCTGGGGGGATCATCGTGTTGGTGGGGTACAGTGAGTGAGGGAATCCAAGCATCTTCGAAACCCCGGCCAAGGGGAACTAAGCAAACCGGGGGTAGTGGGCTGAGTGGCTTTATCTCCCTGAGCTGCTTTTAAAGCTAGGCGAGAAGGGGAGGATGAGTACTTAAATCTCTGGACCTGGATTTCCTCCCCGGAACCATCTCGGTGCCTTCAAGCGCCCCCAGAGCCCTGTGCTCTCCTGAGAAGGCTTCTCCTCTGTCAGGAGAAAGAGAGTCCGACCAGCGTGCAGCAGTTCCTCGCTGGCCTCTGGCCTGGGTCTGGAAGAAGGGCTCAAGAGGGGCTCGCTCGGAGGTCTGGCTAGTACCCTCGGTCCAGCTTTGGTGAGGGGTCCACAGTGGGTCTTCCAGGCCATAGCGGGCTGCTCCAGCGCAACTAGCCTGTTTCGGAGTCTCGGAGTTTGGCCCCAGATGAGGACAGACTGTTAGCTTGTGGCGACTGTGAACAAGTCACTTGGGAACCTGGTCTCTTCTGTACATGGAGCACAGTCACCTCTCCCATCTCAACAGCCTGTGCCCTCTGCCCTCTACCCTGGCGTCAGTCATGATACAGCGGGCGTAGCAAGACAGAGAACCGCTGCATAGCGATCCGAGGCGGTGAATCTGTTGTGGAAACGGACTGCCACCAGAGCTCCTTCCCCTCCAACCGTATCGGGCTCTTCAGCTCAAGGGTGAGGGGGCTCGAGATGGAAACGCTGTACTTCGCGCGGCGCCTGGAGAACGCAGCACCTAACGCAGGACCCCGCCTTCCCCCATCCTCTCACTTCTGCCCGCCCGCTGTTTCTCCCTCTGCTCCTTCTGCTCTCTGGGTGACCCCTCCTGCCCCCTACGCGTGTCTCCTTGTCCCCCAGGCCTGCCAGCCCTCGCCAGCTCACCTGTCCAGGGAGACAGCGGCCAGTGTGAAGCTGCTGGCGTGCATGGTGAGGAAGATGAGGAAGTGCACGGCCTTGCAGAGCAGCGAGCCGAACACCCAGCCGTCCAGGGTGTAGATGGTGGCCTGGAAGGGGACGCAGCACACGATGAAGCACAGGTCGGCCACGCCCAGGTTGAGGATGAACAGGTTGGTGGTGCTCACCGCCTGGCCACCGCGCAGCAGCACGGCCAGCACCAGCGCATTGCCCACGGTGCCCACGAGGAAGATGAGCGCGAAGAGCATGGGCACCACGACCGCCTCGGGCTGCCAGCCACCACCGCTCGCCTCGCCCGCGTCCGCGCGGGGGCCGCCCGAGCCGTTCATGGTGTGCGGCTCCCGCCGCCGTCCGGGTCTCCGCGAGCGCGCAGTGCCAAGCGCGACTCGGTGCTGCCGGCGGAGGGCGCCTGGCGGCGGCCGGCAAAACACAAGAGGGGCGCGCAGGGGGAGGAGCGAGCCGTGGGGGTGGGATTGTCCCCCGCGGCGACGGCCAGCGCAGGAGGCTGGGCTGCCAAGTGGCCGGCGCGCAGCAGAGGACGCCGCTGTTCTCGGTGTCGTCGGCGCGCCCGCGCCGGGCCGGGCTGAGCGGGGCTGAGGCGGGCTCGAGGGACTGACCTCCCAGATGCGTGTGCGCCCCGGGAAGCACCCGCCGGGTCCTGCGCCGCAGCCAGGCGGACACCTAGTTCCGTTGGGCTGAAGACTCCTCCAAAGACCTTCGGGGGCGACAAAGGGCAGGCGGAGGAGAGGCGTGGGGGTGCTCCTCTGTGCGCTCCTCCCTCTCCTGGTGTTTCATTTTAGTCAGCTCCAGGCTTCCCAGAGGGCAGTGGTGGCGGAGTGCAGGAAAATTCAGAGGAAATGTGGTTCCTCCCTTTCTGTTCCCCATCATTGAACGTGTTTCCAGTTCAATGCAATCGTGTTTATTGAGCACCTACTGTGTATCAGGCCCTATCCTCAGCGCCAAGGAGTTCTGGTGGCAATGGCAAGAAGCTGCCCTGCAAAAGGCACACGGTGTGAGGCCACAAACTGCTCTGAGGGAGAAGGGTGGACAATCTTCCTTGAGATTGTTGTTGTTGTTGTTATATACCATCGACTCTCCTGCAAGTAGGTATAGCAGCTCTGAACCCTGCCCTGTTCTGAGCCAGTCTCACTAATTCCGATACACCAACCCTCATCGCCCCAGTTATTTATCAATCCATCTCATCCTGGGTCTTCCTCTCCTGCACTGTCCCTTCGCCTTTCCGGGCAAGATGTCCTTCTCCAAGGACCAATCTCTCCTGGTTACATGCCTAAAGTATGTGAGACAGGGCTTCAAAATCCTAGCCCCCAAGGAGGAACTTGGTTTCACCCTCTCCCAGACAGACTTATTCGTTTTGTTGGCAGTCCATGTTCAAGACTCTTCTCCAGCATCACAACTCAAAGGCATGGATTCTCGTTCTGTCATCCTCAGTCATTGTCCAGCTCTCTGAAGCATAGCAAGTAATTGCAAAGACCGTGGTCTGGATTAGGCGCACCTTGGTCTCTAGACTGACATCCTTGCTTTTCAGTGCTCTGAAGAGGTCCCTGACAGCAGATTTTCCAATGCAATTTGTCTTTTGATTTCCTGAGTGCTGGTGTTAAGAGTGTTAATTGTGGAGCCCAGCAAGCTGTAATTGTTGACAAGCTCAATGTCTTCTCCATCTATTACAGTGCTGTCAATTGACCCAGTGGTGAGAATCTTTGTCTTCTTAATGTTGAGCTTCAATCTATACTGAAGACTACAGTCCTTGAACTTCTGTAGCAAGTGCTTCAGGTCTTCTTCAGTTTCAGCAAGCAAGGTTGTGTCATCTGCATACTGTAGGTTGTTGATGAGTCTTCCTCCATTCCTGAGGCCACATTCCTCCTCATAAACCAGGAGAATCAGCTACAGACGGTAAGCTTTAGGTTGATCCTGACTCTACGGTCCACAACAAGAACAACGGCCTCAGAACTGTGCCCAAGTTTCCTTGGCTGCAATATGGTGATGAGGGCACTTCCTTCCCTGGGGCCCCTCAGAGGCTCTGGTGACACAATATGTCCTGAGTTGCCTTATTCACTCAAAGACTTTGCATCTCCGGTGGTTCAAAGCCAGCAGCAGCTCTGAGGGAGAAAGATGGGCAGCCTCGCTTTATTAGGATTCACAGCCAAAGAAGCCCAACGAAGGGAGGGTCAGCGGCGAATCAGAACTAACTAGACAGACATGAGTTTTGAGTGTTTGAGAACTCGAGTCAAAAGAGAAGTCTGGAGCCAGTTTGTTAAATCTGAACAAACCAAATACCTTCTCTCTGCTTATCTCCAAATATCTAAAAATTAAAAACTTGGTTGTTGTTATTGTTATGTGCCATCGAGTCGCTTGCCACTCATAGTGACCCTATGTACAACAGCCCTAAACTCCGCTCTGTCCTGTGCCAATCGCACTGTCTCTGACACTCCCATCCCAATTATCCCAGTCACTGAATCAATCCACCTCATAGAGGGCCTTCCTCTCCTGCGCCATCCCTCCACCCTCCCAAGCATGATGTCCTTCTCCAAGGACCAGTCTCTCCTCACAACATGTCCAAAGTATGTTAGACAGGGCCTCAGAATCCTTGCCTCCAAGGAGCCACCCAGTTTAACCCTTTCCAGGACGAATCTGTTTGTTTTCCTAGCAGTCCATGGTACCCTCAATACCACCACAGCTCAAAGGCATCAATTCTCCTTCTATAAAAACTTGGAGGAAATAAAAAATTTTGAAGAAGGAACAAAGCCTGCATAAAGTAGGTGATTTCCCTGGATGACCAGGGACTGCTAAGAGTCATGAAGTATCATTGTTGGAAGTGCTGTTGCTGTCATGTGCCATCAAGTCAATTTTTGCATTTAACGTTCAACAACAAAAACAATAGTCAGGGTTTTTTTTTATTTTATTATTTTTTTGTGTGTGTACCATCAAATTGGATCCGACTTGTACTGAAGGAGATTGTCCCTCCTTCTCCAGCAGAACATCTGGTGGATTCAAACCATGCACCTCTGGGATTCCAGTGCAGCTTCTTGCCGGTAGACCACCAGAGCTCCCTTAAGAATAGTTTTGACACTCAGGGACCCTACAGGAAAGCTGGATCACCCCCCAGAGGGTATCCTAGGCTGCCATCTCTACTGGTGGCACAGTGCTTAAGCACTGTTGAAAGGTCAATGGATTGAGGTCATTAGTCATTCACGAAGGGAGCTGGGTGTCGTAGCCCGTGGGCAGTAGTGTCTTTCTGCAGGAGCTCTCCAGGGGAAAGATGGACAATCTCCTGTGGGATTTACAGCCTTGGAAACCCACTGGAGGGGCAGCTATGAGTTGATCCTGATTCAACAGCAGTGAAATGTATTTGTTTCATTGCTCAACAAGAAAAAGACCTGCCCATGAGGTCGTGTCCAGATGACAGCCCGAGGAGCCCGGGGGCAGTTCTGCTCTGTTCTATAGGCAGCCCTGGGTCCACTGCACCGCCGTGACTTTGTCAGCGAGTGAGTTTGTTTGTTTATTTTTACCAGAGCAGACTCCTAGGTCTTTTCCCCTTGGAGGGCTGATGGATTTAAACCACTTGAGCACTTAACCATTGCACCACCAGCACATACAGGTTTTGTGCCATTGAATTATTACTGTTTCTAGAGACTGTAACCCCCACAATTCACTCACACACTCTCACGACTGCCGAGTTGGGACAGATGCAGAGCTGACGCTGCAGCAGGTTCTTAGAGGCTGTAATTGCATGGGACGAGGTTGCCCCATCCTGCTCGCAGGGAGCTGCTGTTGGATTCAAACAGCGACAGAAGCGCTGCCTTTTGGTTCAGAGCACAACACCATGGATGAGGCCACTGGAGCTCCCAGTGCCGGGGCTGGTTCAATGATACAAACCCAGCAATTGTTCTCGGGGAGGAAGAGATGACAGTCTGCTTGGGTAAAGATTACAGCCTTGAAAAACTTCTGGGATAATGCTACACTCTCTAGGTTTCTAATGACAAAGGTTGTGTGCCACTCTGATGAGACCATGATTCTCAGTGGTTTCATGGATATTACACAATCATCCTCCATTCTGTGTGACCTAACGTGAGCAGTTAATTAACTGAAAGGGAAGTTTCCTTGGACATAGCCTGCATTCAATATTTATAGAGGTTCTGGCAAAGCCCTTTTCACCCTCACCCCAAAGCTCTTTTCTTGATCATGCATCCATTTTATCATTCTCTGACCTTTAGTTCTTGGGCTATGAGACAGCAGCTTGCCAACTGACTTGCCAGTTCAATGTTTACCAGCCTCTCAATCCCATGAATCAGGAGAAGCCTCCAGCCTGACTCATGGATTTGGGATTTGCCTGCTTGGTTCTATAGTCAACAACCTTGGCACTAGCAGTCAGAAAATCAAAAGACAAATTGTATTAGGAAAATCTGCTGTCAGGGACCTCTCCAGAGTGCTGAAGAGCAACAATGTCAGTCTAGAGACTAAGGTGCACCTGATCCAAGTTATGGCCTTTTCAATTACTTGCTATGGATCAGAGAGCTGGAATGAAACTTGGGCTGATAGAAAAGTCAATGCCTTTGAGTTGTGGTGCTGAAGAAGAGTATTGAATATAATGTGGATAGTCAAGAGAACAAACAGTTCTGTCCCAGAGAGGGTGAAACCAAGCTGCTCCTTGGACACAAGGATTTTGAAGCTTCATCTCAAATCTTGGAGAATGTTTCCAGAAAGGACCAGTTCTTAGAAAAGGACATCAAGACCTTAGATAACATGGATTGACACAGTAACTAGGGTAATGGGAATAGACGTGTTGGAGACATACTGGCACAGGATAGAGCAAGGTTCAGAGTTTTTGTACATAGGGTCGCTATGAGCCACAGGCAACTCGATGGCACATAACAACAACAACAACAACAAGAACTTTGTGAGCCATTTCCTTGAAATTAGTATCTTTATGTATTTCTAAAATAAATAATTGAGAAGCAAGCCAAAAACCCAAACAGAGTATTATCATAAGAGTGACTGACGGGGGGGAGAAGGTGGGCAGAGAGAAAAGTACAACAATGAAGGACTGGAAATCCTAAGTCTCTTAAAATTAATAAAGAAATACATTTAAATAAAGAAATACATTAAAAAATTATTTAATAATAAATTAATAACTTTTAAAAGAAAAAACTAGTGACTGAATTACAATGTCAGTGGAGTTTCCAAACTTGAATGAAGTTAAAGTGAGGACTTTGATAGGGAAGAAAGTGGTCGCTGTTAGGTGCCATCAAGTCCACTGTTACTCATAGTGACCCTGGGCCCTGTCCTTCACCGTGTGCATGATCTCCACCATGATCAAGTCCTTTGTCAGTTACAGCACCAATCTGTCCT